AGGCCCAGCTTGAGCCAGCAGGTCGGAGGCAGATAACCGTGCGGCTGGCTGCCGCTCTGCCCGCTGCCGGAGGGAGAGGAGAAAGAAAACATTTTCTCCTCCACACCACGTCGGCGCCCTGATGAACTGGCCTGAGCACAAAGGGGAGGCTTTGTCTGGAGAGGCATCAATCAGTGGTGAGCTGGGAGGCGACGGGGAGACATGAAGCTCTGCACGGATTTATTCTTTCCCCCAAACAATAATAAATAGTTGTCTGATTTTTTTTTCCCCTTCGCCTTGCTCTTCGGTTTCTTCCCCAACCAGCATTTATTGCTCCCTGCGTGGCTCGCTCTTTATCAGCCAGCGCTGCCAAGTGACAGCAGCTTATCAGAGGACATGACTCAAACCCCCAGCCCCCATCACCACCGTACAACCACTCTGCTTGGCAAAGGAGATGCCTGACAGCTGACACAGGCTCCCCACCCTTCCGGCTCCCTGCGCTGCCGCCTTTTTGGCGTGCACAGCAGGGTTGGTCAAGGGGGAATTTGCTAGTTTTGCATCCTAGTCTCCTGCTGTGTCCAGTCCCTTTAAACTGGATCACAGAGGGCTAAAACAGACCTCAGGAAGTTGCATCTAGTGCAACCCCCTGCTCAAAGCAGGACCATCCCCAGCGAGATCATTCCAGCCAAGGCTTTGTCTAGCCAGGTCTTAAAAACCTCCAAGGATGGAAAATCCAGCACCTTTCTAGGTAAACCATCCCAGTCGTTTACATATGCTAGTGAGAAGGTTTTTCCTAACATCCAACCTCAACTTCTCTTGCTGCAACTTGAGACCATTGCTCCTTCTTCTGTCATCTGCCACTGGACGCTCATCTCCAGAGGCCATCACTCCGCAGACAGCGTACACAGGCATAGCTATGGGGGGCAACACTGGCTTGCTTCAGATGCCGGAGGAAGAAAGACACCTCATGTCAACACCGCCTTGTATCCCAAAGCCTACGCGACAGAGCTGGAGGGAGCAGGTCAGTGACCAGAGCATGCACGGCCCTGTAAGGGGTAGACGCAAGGGACTAAGACGGCCCGGAGGCAACAAGCAAGAGAAAGCCAAGCTGCTTTGCCACGTGGCTCGCAGACTGGCAGGCACGGGCCTGGGTGCTGACAGATTCCAGGGAAATTTTAAACACCTCCATCTGCTGGGATTAAACAGCAGAAGGTAAAGGGGGAAAGAGAGCGCCTGCTCCAATCCCTGCTGCCTGGGGAGCTGCCAGGCCTACTCCAGAAAGGATGACCCCCATTACCTGTGGAGTGCCAAGGGCCTCCGCCCTGCTGATGCTCCTGACCTTGCCACCGGGGTGAAAGGCAAGGGAGGACCTGGGTTAAGAATCCGCCACCTGCTAATTACTCATACCTACGTGATGAACAGAGCTCTCCAGCCAGCATTAATCACCGCCTGCAACCCAGCAACCCCAAAGAGCAAAGATCTCATTACGAAAAAAAGCTGCTGGACCACTTGGGGGGGCCGGGTTGGTTGGGTGATGTATGCTACACAGGCCTGACCCCCTCCCCAGAGACCTGCACAGAGGAGCACTTGGAGCTCTGGGGAGGAGGCTGGTCCAAGCCAGGACTTCCCTGGCACTGTCAGGAACCAGCGCGATGATGAAATCTGCACAGTCGCGGCACCTCCCTCCAGCCTGATAACAGCGGAGGTGGAAAGTCAGGGTTGGATTCTGATGGCTGCCTAGAAGGGTGGAGTCGCAGGGAAGTGGCCTGGTGCCCAATGCCCACTTCCACCTGGAACGGGTGTGGGGCAAAGTCTCCAGAAGGCAGCATGAAACTAGGCCCCAGAGCCCCCCCAGAATGGAACAGGCGCTCCTGGTGCTCCTGCCACTTGGAGGGCTCATCCTTCCCCTTGGCACCCCGCAGGCTGCTCACAACCAGCCCACTACACTGCATCCCAGCCGCACATCCACCCCCGGGGGCAAGTGGTGCAGCAAGGGGAGGCGCTTACTTACAGACCAAGAGCTCCCTTCTCCCAGCTGGATGGCAGTCAGGAGAGAGCTGGAGGGGGGGGTGCAGATCCGGCCCTGGGATGCCAGCAGGGCAGTGCCCACTCCGGGGAGCCACCTCCTCACCAGCAGCAGGTAGCCCAGGCTGCCCCTGCATTAGCTGAGGAGCACAGGCCTGTCCAGGGAACAGAGCGCTCCTGGCACAGCAAAGACCACGAAAGGAGCAGGCCTCACTGCTTCCCAGCTCTGCAGCAGGCAGGAAGGAGCCAGCCGGGAGCACTGGGCACTTATGCTGCATCTCCCTGGCAGCCCTGGCTCCACTGCAGCTTGAGAAGGCTGTTGCCATGTGGGAGGCAGAGAGAATCCCCTAGCTGGCTTTGGCTAAGGATCTCAGGTGTGAGAGATCTCAGTGGACTGAGGTTACCACCTTCCCTCCCTGGTAGGCACCACAGAGCAGCTCCCATTCAGCTGGGTCTTACTGGGCAGCAACAAGCAGCTGGAGGGGGGAACGTATGACTGGTGCAGCCTGTAGGCCTCATGATGGGTCTGGCATTGCAGCATCACTGCTGTCATCACCACATCGTCCCACAGTACCTCTGCAGCACAGTATGGCAGTGCAAGCCTGGCTATGGCTTGGGAGGCTGTGTTTGTGGGCAAAGGAGCCCACAGCTCTCACCAACAGGAACCAGCTTCTTAGTGGTCTGCTCAGCGCTGTGGTTATTCAGGTCTTTCTGCTTGCCACGAGCAGGACAGAAACCACCTCAGTGCAAAAAGACCCATTTCCCTTCCACTTTCAATTGTCCAGTGCAAACAGCTCTGACCTCCCAGCTCCCGGGTCAAGTGAGGGGACTTGTTGGGAGAAGCAGGCTGAAACCCAGCAGGCACACTGTCCCTGTGGTATCCCTGGAGGGGAAGAACAAGAGGCCCACTGCAATGCCACGCCAGGCCATCCAAGCATGATCTCCACAGGCAGTTCTCCCAGAGAGCTGGAGATGATCCTGAGAGCAAAGAGCATCACTGCTGGTAGCAGAGACCACAGGATCTCAGCCCCAGAGGCTGCTGATAGGGGCTGGGTGAAGTAGTTGCAACCCACATCACTCTGCACACTGGCAAGCGGACATGCAGTCCCTGGGCACAGCCCCCTCCTGCACTGCCTGCCTCATGCTGCATGCAGAAGATGCTCCCAGGCTGAACTCCATGGCTCTGTCCCTCTCCAGGGACCTCTGCACCCCTTTAGGCCCCCAGTCCTTCCCAGACTAGGGCACAGCCCCCACTGCAGCTGCCCCACCATCCAACAGCTGGGCTTATCAGAGAGGAAAAGGATGTGGTCCATCTCATGACTAAGGGGGTCTCTGCACCATTAAAAATAGTTCCATCAGCTGCAAGGCCACCCCATTCAAACCTGTACCAGAAGCACAGCACGGACCTGTCTCAGGGACTCCAGGCAGCTTTAGTCCACGCTACACCGGGCCCGTTCCAAAACAGGAGCAGGAGGCAGGAAGGGTGGTGGAATCTCTTCCCATGCTATGGGCTTGCTATACACCAAACCAGGGTCTCTAGCCTTTGCTCCCACTGCAACAGACTCTCCTGGCCTTCCATATGTCCCTACAAGCTCCCTGCACAACCTCTTTTGACCCAGGGGAATCACCAGGGAATCTCAGGTAACTCAGCATTCAGCCCCACCTTGGGCAGCAGAGGTTGGTCTGTAAAAGTTCAAGCTGCTCTGAGCGGCTCCTGGATTGCAGGCATCAGTGAAATCCGTTCAGCACAGCCCCATTGGCAAGGGACCCCTTAGGGTCCTCAGGCTGATGAAGGAACCTAGCATTGTAAAAGAGCAAGACCAAGAGCATCTATGAGCTGCAGAGAGAGAACTACAGTATCTGATGCTCACCACTGCTGTTAAAAACCAGAGCAATGTCAGGATAAGACTCGCTCTCTGGATGTGCCCCAGAGCTGGTACCTTCCTCCATCAGTCCTCACACAGGCGCCTGGAACCCATGACCCCGCTGAGGACAAGAATTTGCTGTCACTTCAGAGCAAGACAGCAGCTTTGTCAGTGCCCCAGCTGGGAGGGCAAAATTCACCCTCTGCATGAGGCTGCACCGGGCTTCAGCACAGGTCCTGCTAATGGGCTTGGTTGTTTCATAACCCTTAGGATAGTCTCCGCACACAGACGCCCTGAAGGAGGAGATCCTGTCAAAGAAACACCGTCCTGTTGGCCCCAGACATCCAGCAGCACATCTGGCGTGCTGGCACTAATCCTGGGGATTGGACCTCTCCCCCTGCCCACCATTAGCAGCTTCCAGTGAGCGGAGAAGTCTGTCTCCTGTGCTCACCCAAGGAGCCGTAAAAAGAGAAAAAGCACTCACCAGCCAAGGCAGAGCCTTCACCGGAGCTGGGAGGGAACCGTGCTGGGAACCAGAGGGATGCTTGCAAGCGGCTGCTCCTGGACGGGAGGCTGCTCCTCAGTGCAGGTTTCACAGCATCCAGCACAGAGCTCAGGCCCCAGCATCCCGGGAACAAACACCCAGATGCAGCCGGCAGGTCTAGGCAGAACCCAGCATCGCTCTGCCTAGCTGCGGCCGCTCCCCTCTCTAGATTCACAGCGTGGGTTAATGCCGCTGAGCCCCATTGGGCTGTATCATCTGCCCTTCCTGCCCCCAGTGAAGCAGGAGGGGAGAGATGCAGGCCAGAGCCCCTGCCCCAGGCACGGCTCTGCACCAGGAAAGCGTCGGCTGGCCCCACTCAGAGCAGTGACGCTGTCCCCGCCGCAGACAATGGGAGATGGGCTGAGCTGCACACGCTTGTCACCCAGCGAGGTCGCGTCCTGACCCCCCTGCAGACCCCATGCACTCCTTGGTGCTGCAGCTCCTTGCCAGACCCCGAACCAGGCCCTAGTGGCTTTCAGCACGCTGGAATATATGTTTTCCTTCATACCCCAGGGAGATTGTCATTGTTATCAATCATTAACAGCCACCTTCGCTGCCAGAGGCCTTAACCCCTTCTAAGCCAGAACACTGCAGGCCTGCCCTGGCAGGCATCTTGCCCAGGGCTTGCTGCAGCTCGTGTTCCTTTAAAGGCCACCCCACCTTGTCTTTGCTCCCAACCACAGCCTGCTGCTGGCTCCATCCCAACCTGCCACAGTGCTGAGGTGACTGTGGGCTCTCCTCCAGGCTACCTGAGTAATGCCATGGCCTCCCAGGGAGGGAAAGCTAATTCCCAACCCCCTGCACTGGGGTCCCCTCCAGGGATGGGAACAGAAGCCAGGGCAGCAACTGCCGGGTATCTGGTGAGCTTAAGTGGCAAGGTTTGCTCCCCCTGGACCAGCGGGGGGGGCCTCGGGGTACGTTGGGAGGGTCACCAACAGGAGCAAAAGCAGGTGCCTGTGTCACCCGACTCCCAAGGAAGGAGGCGGAGGGTTTCATGGGGCATTTGCTCACCGACAAAACCCCGGTACACATCCTTCCCTGCCCCGTGGGGCACCTGCAGTGGGCACAAAGGGCTGGACTTCCAAGCATGGGGCACCCTCCCCTGCTGCTGCCAGGTTTCCCTAGGGGCTCAGCCCTGCAGCCTCTCTCCACCTGCCCTCCAGCTCCCTCGTCCTGCTCCGCTCTGCCTCTGCCCTCCCTCCATGGCCCCGCTCCCGCTGGCAAGTCTGGTCCGAGTGGACAAAGGAGCCAAGCAAAGCGGCGCCCAGATCCACACCAGGACCTTATCTCACCGCACGTCTTGGCTCCGCCACCCGGTCAACAGCTCTGGGCTGGCTCCAGTGCCCTGCACAGGCCCAGCCTGGCCTTAAAGAAGCAGCACCAGCCCAGCCTCGGAGCCTGGTAGGAGCCCTTCACCAGGCCTGGATGGAGCTGGCTCTTCCCTGGTGCCACGTGCACCCTTCCTGAGGGGACTCTGTGAGCATCCCTGCAATGAAAGGTTCATATATAATAGCAAAATGACCTCTTCGGGGCTGTGAAGCAAACCATACAGCTTCGGCCTCTTCCTCCACCAGGGCTGCCTGCCTAGAGTGGGGAATACTGTAGTAATCCCCTCACACTCCTCAAAGATGCGTTTACCCTGAAGCATAATGATGGCAGCTCCATATTAGCTGCATCACTGCTAAGCAGCTAATCGGAAAAAGACAGCGCCTCCAGCCTCCCTGCTCCCTCCAGCATAGTGCGATGCCAGCCCCCCTGGACCTCCAAGGCCATCACGGATGGCACGAGGGGCAAATTCACCCCTCAGCAACACGGGCTGAAGACACCTGAGGAGAAGTCTCCGCAGACATAGAGCAGGCACTAGCAGTGTCTGCTCTGCTCCTTGCCGGCGAAGGCCGACGTGGGCTGCTCTTCAGAAAACTCAGTCCCCGGTGCTCAGCAAAACCCAGAATATGACTCAAGTTTCCTATTTGGTGCTGTGCAGCCTCATCAGAGCCTCCCAGGGCTGCACGCCTCGTGGCTGTCCCCCGCAACAAGTCCAGCCACCCTAGTGCCATGCGACAGAGCTCCCAGTGTCCCTCCACACCCAGCATCAGGGCACCGGTGGTATCCTCTTCATCTCTGCTGGAGGGCCGGCTGCACCGCAGCTGTCACTACTGTGCTTTGGCACTGTTTGTTTCCAGGTGGCTGCCTGGGAAAGGCCTCAAACTCCAGCGATGGGGGCTGAGGGCCAGGATGGAGGGGCATCGGCAGAGCTGCTGAGGGGGCCTTAAGACTGGGGTAGTGAGGATGGGGCTACAGTGCATCAGCCAAGCAGGCCAGGTGGGAACGAAGCTCGGAAAGGACTGGCCGGTCAAGCTGGGAATGCACAGGGACTGGATTTAAGGAGGATGCAGGGCAGCCCCGGCAGGGCTGGAAGGTGGCAGGGTGGAGCCGGGACTGGAGGAGCATTGCTCCAGACAGCAGGGCATGGCAGAGCTGCGTGGGCGAAGGGTGCATGCGCTGCCTGGCTGGGCCGGGGCTTTCCATCCCTCCCTGGATGAGCGTGGAAGGACTCCAAGCAATCAAAGGCGATTCTGGCAGGCGACGCAGCAGCTGGATTCTGTTATCCCACTCCCAGCCATGGACCCGAACACGGCTCCTGTCATCCCTGGACCCACACGCCCCTCCAGCTGGAAGCAGAGCAGCATCCCGCACATCCCACTTTCATGTGTCAGCGCAGCCCCTGGCCCGGAGCCTAGCTGCAAACCCCACCGCAGGAAAGGCGAGAGGACAAAGAAGGGCTGGATGTAAATGCAGCCGGAAGGGCGGGGAAGGTTACCCGAGCGCTCTGGACACAGCCAGCCCATGCCAACCCACGGGGGGAAGCTGTCTGCACAAGAGGCCCCCTGAGACGGAGCAACAAAGGGTGGAGACCTTCTCCCAGCCAGGCACCGTCTGCCTTGGCGACGCCGAAAGATTTAATGCCTGTCTCCTGTCTCACACAGCAGGGGCCAGTAAAACCTGCAGGGCAAAGCCCGGCTGCAGGGAGACTTGAACCCTCCACATCCCACAGAGCCAAACCCCACTCACCCTTTCCTCTGTGCCCCCAGAGCAGCTGCTGGGCTGGGGCTCCTCTGCTCTGGGCACGGCACAGATGCAACGCAGAGGCATCTCACGGAGGGCATATCACAGACAAAGGGCTTTGAAGGCCTGGACCAGTGGCGCACGCAAGGATGGCCGCTACCTGCCCACCGCCACAAAGGGAGGTCACATTAGAGCCCAGAGCCGACTCTCTCGAGGCTCAGGATAGGGTCTCCACCATGAGGTTGCTTCCCTTTCCTGCTCCAGCACCACCAGCTTGACTCACCTCTATCTGATTCTCCGTGACAGTCATTTTGGCTCTCCGTCCTGCCAGAAGGCAGGCTCCCTCCCAGCACCTGCTTGACTATTGAGCAATGCTGTGTGGGGGCAGGAAAGACATTCCCTCCACCCTGCCGGCTTAGCCCCACAGCCAGAGATCTCCTTACCCCCGTTGTTATCAACTCATAGTACTCAGAGAAGAGACGGAGCTCTTTGATCACCGAGTGCCTGTAGCTCTCAGCCTGCAGGTTATTAATGGCCGTAACATTAGCTGACCCCAGTTAAAATCTAGCCACAGGATTTGGCTCCATCTCCTCAGAGCCCGACAGCAGAGCTAGCACCAGCTCCTACATTTCCCTCTCACTGGAGAGTTGGTGCGTACGGAAACAGCACTCCCAGCTGATGGCCACAGACATCTTGACCTGAGCAAGGACACTTGGGCTTGTCAGTACAGCAGCAAAACATCTCCAGCCTTTTTGCACCCAAGATCCCGCTTTGCATCAAGGGAGAAGTGTCACGATCACCCCTTCACAGACAAACCCAAGGGAGAAGCGACTGGCCTGAAGGCAGCAGCTGGGACCAGAACCCAGTCTGACCACGTGCCAGGCCACTGGACCTTGCCGGGTGCCAGCGGTCACTGTAAATGAGGCCTCTGTTCCACAAGCAAAACACTCCATGCTGCTCCCCCCATCGCACGCCCCCACTCCTCCTTCTTCCAGAAAAAGCAGAAAGGAGGGCACGGAGCCAGAAAGAAGCAGCTTTGGACTTGGAAGGAGCTCAGCAGACCAAGGAGGACGAGGGGCTGAAAGGCCAGAAGCTTTAAAGAGACATGTCCACGGCGCTGGCCACGGGATCCGGGAGGGAAGGGCACCACCGCCCATCCGGTCTACCAACAAAAGCGGTTTTCATGTAGACACAAAGTCCAGGGGGGGACTCAGATCTGACTGCTGTGCCTTTCTGCCCAGGACCTCGCAGCCCCCAAATTACTCTCACCTGGGGTCACGTATCAGCCCCAAAAAGAGGACACTGCAGTGAAGAAGGGTTGAATCACCTAAGATCACCTATGGAGTCCCTGGGCTTCCCCCCATCCCTCCTTGCAGCTGCTTGTTCAGGAGGAGAGATCACTAAGGTATCTGTACTTTAAAGAAGGAGGATGCCAGTGGATGCCTGAAAGGTTTAGGTAACCCCGGGAGGAATAGCTGGGTGGAGGCGAGGCTCCCACCCCACTAAACACCCCCGCACCAGCACACACATTTTGGGATGGGACAGGGGCTTCCGCTGGGTTTCTGTCCTAGCACCTTCTGGCTCTGTGGGGGAAGGGGAGCAAGCCGGGTTATGCCCTGCCTCGGGAAGATTTTGAATAATTAACCTCAAAGCAAGTAAGCCCTGTCGCTAGGACGCACAGCTCTGCCAAGGCAGAGGCCGATGCGCTCTGTGTGTGAAAACAATTGCACACGTGGCGTTGTGCACGCATGTGCCAAGCCCGGCAGCGTGTCGTGTGCAACTCTGTGCGTGTGTGTAAGAGAGGGGGTGGGTGCACAATGCTGCGCCAGGCAGCCACGGTGGGGGTGGGGGGAGAAGGGGATGAATTAAGTGGAGAGGGGACCTGGGAAACCAACCCCTTTACTAGTGCACCTGGTGCTAGCCTGGCCCAGCAGCCATGGGTCCCACCAACAAGGTTATGCCCAGCCCAGAAGTATAAGCAGCTGCCTGATCCCTGATCCAAACCCCACTGCCCCACAAGTCACAGCAGGCAGGCAACCCCCCTACCACCCCGCAAACGGAGTCACTGAGAGAGAGCAAGCACGCAATATTTGCTTTTCCCTAGGTGTAATCCAGAAGCCCCAATCCCATCAGGCCGAAAGCCCAGCCTCCCACATTCATCCCCAGCCCCCAGCACGGTGCCCAGGCTCTGACCTTCGCAGCCGCCGCTGATGTGTGCATTGCTGAAATATCCTGGCTTCAGTTCTTCCCTCCCCTCTCATCCCCCAGCCCTCTCCTTTCCCATTCAGCGGCCCCTTTGCCAAGGCAAACGCCCTGAGCACATCTGGCTCTGGCGGATCAGAGGCAGCTAACGAGCCCCTCTGTGACTGGATCCAATCCTGCCATTGCACAAAGCGGGCCCGGGTGGCTCCCAGGTGAGAACCAGCCTGTGTCTCTGCTCCTCCTCCGATGTGGAAGGCGCTGCAGGAGAGAGGCAGGGCTGCGGGGGCAAGGTGAAGAGGGAGAGGGCAAGAGCAGAAAAGCTTCAACACAGAAGCAACCCCAGTTTCCTTGGAGGTGGGGAGGGGGTTGGGACTCCCAGGCCCTCCCCAGTTCTCTCTGCTTGGGGATCAGTCCAGTAGCAGCACCTGACCTGCTTCCATCCATGAATCTCCAAGCGCTTCCCAGAGATGGAGAAGAGTCCCTACCTCAGTTGGAGAGATGGAGGCCTGAAAAGGAGTAGCCGCTGTTTCAGGCACACGGTCAGGCAGCAGCAGAGCTGCAGGAGGAAGGCAGGTCTTTTCACTCCCGCTCTGATGCCCTGTGCAATGCACCATGCTGCTTCCCCGGGTTTGAGATGTACACGGTGACTCTCAGCAGACCCTCTGCAGGGGCCAGGAACAACTGTTCCGGGTCAGGCCAGTGGTTTGCCTTTTATCTGAGTCTTTTTTGAGACCAGAATCACAGAAAAGCAGGGCTGGCAGGACCTCAGAGGGTCGCATCTAGTTCACTGCTGCCTGAGCCATCTCGTCCGAGTGCTTGTGTAACCTGTACTTCAAATCTTGCAGTGATGGAGACAGAGAAGGCTCAGAGAACCCAGGAGTCCTGGAAGCCAGCCCTGGCTTTAAGCATTAGACAGCAGTTTGTTGGAAGGCGACATGTTTCCAAAACCAGCCGAAATCCCTGAAGAGAGATCTCGTGAACAGAGCAAGAACTCTCATGAAATATTCACACTAAGGCTGTCACCAGACAGTTGTGACCCCAGAGCTGCAATGTTTTATGTCCTTAAAAGCGTAGATGTCTAGAACAAATTCTCACCCCCCCCCACACACACCCGGCAGCCTTTCAGTAACCACCATCAAGGCTGCGGCAGAGAGGATGAACTCTGTCTAAACCTTACAATCTTCCACCAAAAGCCCTCCATAGTCCCAGCATCCTAACAAGGAACCAGTCCTAAACTGGTCTTGAACAAACACCTGAATGATTCTCCTACCCAGCATCTGGCTCAGGGGCCTGTTTTGGGGATGGATTTAATAAAAATAGGTTTTCCCTTAATAAAAAGACAACAGCTACGAAACAGCGGAAAATACAAACCTAAGCAAAGTGTAAATAAGCTCAGACACGAAGGCTCTCGTGAAATCTCAGCACGCTGGAGGCTTGCACTCATTGTCATCGCCGTGCCCTCAGCACGTATATTTAGCCTCCTCATTCGCATGCATCCGGGTGGCATTTCATGTGTTGTGCTAGGGCTTCTCACTGTTCCCTCACCTTTCATCCCCAAACACTTCACAGTGTATTGCTACTGACAAGCGGCCATGCCTGGCGTGGAAGGGAGCAGGCAGCTAACATGCAGCAGAACAGTGGAGAAAACACATTTTGGCTACAGACAGGCACAGGCAACCCCTCTTCTTTTATAAAATGCCCTGAGATCGTCACTGTCTGTGTAGTGCTGGCAGATTTGAAAGGCCTGGCTAGGAAAGACATGACCTCAGGTCTCGATCTTGGGATCAGGGGCTCGCTCGAACCCCTCCATGCAGTGCCCAAGGTCCAATCGTAGTCCCAGCGCAGGCAGCGACTCCATTCCCGGGGTCACGGTCTCTACTGGGTGCTATTTTTATAGCTGCGGCACCTGAGAGCCAGAGCTGGGGCTGGGATCAAGCTGCCTGTGGCGCCCCGGTCCCAGAGACTGCTGGAGTGGAAGCGAATTACCCGGTGCCTGCTGGCATCCTGGCCACTTGCCTTCCCTCTGCCGTCACAGCAGGCCTCTTTGTAACTCAATTACACGTCCCTCCAGGCACCCGCTGATCAATGATGGAGCCACCGGTGCCAATTGCAGCCTGGCCTCTGCACACTGCGGGGCTTTGTTGGCCATCCCCCCCAGGTCTGTGCCTGATGGAGCTGGGCTAATCCGACGCCTTTGCTCTCTTTCCTGGGCTCTAACCCTGCACTTCCCCTTCCTACAGAGACAAAAGTCACCTTTCAGGAACATTCCTTGTTAATTGTCACCTGCCCTAGACTTGCAAGCCGAAAGCAGCCTCTGCCTCTCCTCCCGGGAAGCTGCCAAACATCTGACTCACCTGCATGGCAGGCTCTCGCCCCCATGCGCAGGAATCCGCTCCTAGCCTTCACCTTGCTCTTGGAAGGGAGCCTTCCAGAGGGCCCCACCTACCCAATGCCCCACTAATATCCTGTCCCAGTTCTCACTGGAAGGGAGTGCGTCTCCAGACAGAACCTCCTTGCAACCATCCGCACCGAGCTGGACACAGAAGAGCCAGCAGAATCCTCCAGCAACTTGCAGAGGCCGGGACAGCGAACACACAGGCCTGACTGACAATCACACGTCCAGCACAGCACGCTCCTTGTCAGGAACCCCACAGAACAGCATGGCGTAGCTTGCTGGCTGACGGGCATGAAAAGACTATCATCATCTGGCTCATTTCCATCCTGAGATCCCGCAGCACTGTTGAAAGGTCGGTGTGATTATGCCCATTTTACATATGGGGAAATCAAGTCATAGAGAAGAAAGGATTTGCCCAGTGTTAGCCAACAAATCAGTAGCACAGCCGGGATTTGAACCCAAGTCCACTCAGTCCCACTAAGCCTCTGACTCCTCCATTTGCAAACATAACTGAATTCAGACTAAGGTGCAAACTGTTTCCTGACTTCGCCCCTTGCACTGGCCACAGTGACCCACTGGAGTTCAGTGGGGTTGTACACGGCCCAAAGGGCCTGAAAATGGTATGCATGAGAGAGGAGGTCATTTAGGACTCATTGACACAAGCTGCTCCTGGGATCACGTGTGGCTCTGGGCTTCTGCATTTCCCTGTTCATTCAAAGACAGCATGTACAGTCCTGGCCCCATGGAAGGGAGATTTCACAGTGCATTGTCTGGGATCATTAATCTAGGAAGAAAGGAGTGAAACTGCCACTCCAGATCAGACCGAGGGCCCATCCACACTTGGTCAACCCCTGAGTGACCAGCACCAGCTTCTCCAGAGGACGCTGCAGGCAATCAAAAATGGGCTTTCTCCTCCATTCGTTTTAAAGCAAAGGGCTGGGCCAACTCCTGTTTACCTGCTTGTACTGGACAAACTGGGAAATGCCAATCCAGGGGGTCTGTATGTCAGAGCAAACCCAGGAGATGCGAGAATAACTTAGAGGACAGGCTCCTTACAGCATCTGCCAGGCTGCAGCTGGGCTGGTCTTACTCCTTTTCTTAAGTCTCTGCTGGGCACAGGTATGCCAGTGAGAAATGGCCCTGGGTACACTAGCAATCATGCATGCATGTTGTAGGCGCTGTCCAGAACCTGCTGCCCAACAGAGAGAGAACAAAGCGGTGGAGAGCAGTGGGTGCAGCAAGAGAGCCAGCCCCAGCCGCTGGCCCCGCTCTCCTGCCTGCTTTGTGCTCCTTGGCAGAACGTGGCCCTGTACTCGGTCCAAGAGAAGGAAGCGTCTCTGGCCCCGGAAGCCCAGCACTGGGGCATTGTTTGTTTGTGTGCAGCTGGAATCATTGAGAACCATGCAGCCATTTCCTCACCGGGGGCTGAATCCTCCCCTCTGTCCCCTCGTGCGTGCAAAGGGAATGGAACTGGAGGGCGGGGGGAGGTCTAGCCTAGCTGGCAACTCAGGGAGGCAGAACCCCCCTTGGAGCAGGCCGTCCACCCATGGCAGAGGCGGCTGCAGCTCCGCTTGGCTTCTCTGGAGGTTTGTCCTCTGCCAGGTTTGCAAGCAGTCCGTGCGCCTCATCAGTGCAGAGACGTCAGGCTGTCAAGTAAGAACTCATTCAGCAGATTCCATGCATACCTGCCCCATGCGTCTGCTGGGGCACCGAGCTAACACCTGTTAGCTGCCACCTTCGCAGGGCGGAGGCTTATCACAAGCACCTCAATCCTGGGAGAAGCCCAGAGCACGTTTGGGCTCCACTGCCGTCTCCTGGAGAGACCTGCAACAGCTTGGCTGTGTCCTACGCCCTCCATCGCTGATGGAGCAAGCAGCTGGAGCCCAAAAAGGCAAGAGCGCAAGGACTCAGGCTTGTGCATGGAGTTCTGCAGGGCCGCAGGCTGGAGCACAGTTGGACCGTGAGGAATGGATCGATCACGTTTACAGCCAACATTTGCATCTGGAGCTTCTTCACAACCATATTCCAGTGGCTCCGAAGGCTCACATGCACAGTGTTGAAAGAAGAGCCCTTTGTACAGGTCTGGCTCCAGTCAACTCGCTGCACAGACACCGCACAGCTTGTGGGAGAACCTGTAATGCAGTCAGGGGGTCAAATCCAAACCACGTTTGCAGCTCTCGATGGTAGCATGGGGAGCCAGAAGCACATCTTTGAGGCAGAACTGGGCCCAAAATACTCCACATGGCAACTCTAATGATAAAACACAGGGTGTGAAATGGCAGCTGGACTCTGCTACTTTGAATTCTTAGCAGCATGTTGGAGGTCTTCATGCGTTGAGTTGAGTCTGGTGGAGCACTACCAAGACACTACTGGGTACATTTAACTCTGGAACTGCAACCACCATGTGTACAGCAGCTTTAAAAATGTCCCCTCATCTCAGTGGACCAAAACCAGCCAGTTCTATTCCCAGGGCTGTTGCCCCCAGTTACAGGATGATACACATAGGATGCGCTCTCTCATGGAAACCTTATTTTTGTTCTTCCTTTTAGCCATTTTCCATTATCTAAAATAAAAGCCATTTCACCAAATTGCTCCCTCTTCATGCATGAAGGCATCAGCACACAATCAAGAGGCAGGCCCCCTTAACAATCATGAAACTGACTTTAAAAAGGATGAAATTTTGGAAAATAATGTGGCTGGGATTCTTTAGATTTGCTTCCAGGTGTTGGATCACCCAGGGAGCTGCTTTCTCATGCTTTCCTCCATGACCACAAGGGCCAGGAACTATCCTTGAAATGAAAGTCAAGGTTCTCAGGCGACAACCCGATTCCGGCAGTGAAAGCTCTAAGGACCACGCCGACCGCGAGAAGATGCTTTTGAAGAGAGAGAGCAATACAACCACACAATGTTGGGGAGCTCCCCTTTTTTTTTTTTTTTTTTTTACAACTGGAAAAGCAATCACACTCAGTGCCATCAACTCCCACCGGGCAAACCACTTGACCCAAAGTTTAATGGTTGCTTGAGGTTTGTAAAGAAAAGCAGGACATCATTAACGGCTCTCTCCAAATGTTGTGAGCTGTCTGGTCACACTCCACCTCACCCCACCTTCACAGCCACTCAACCTTCCCACCATGAAGCTGTTTTCCAACTCTGCCAGCTCCCAGTGCTTGCAACAGCTGCTTGCCATCTACCGTAGACACACCGCATTGCATAGACTATGGGCTATAGAGGCTTGGAGTTCAAGGGCCCAGTAAGCACTCTGCTCACCAGGGATCCTGGATTTCTCTATCTAAAAAAAAAATCCTCAATTTTTGGTTAAAAAAAGTAACCCCAAATCCACATTTTCCCATAATTTAAATGAAACACCATTTATATATATTTACACACACACACACACACACACACACACACACACAGTGGCATTTCATTTTAATCATGGAAAAATGTGGATTTGGGGTTACTTTTTTAACTGAAAATTGGGGATTTTCTTAAATCAGAGAAAACC